AAAAATAAATTCAGCATGGTAGATACATTTTTATAGATAAAAATAGCTAAATTCTCACAAATTCTCTCTTTGTGATTTAACTGCAAAGATATAGCACCAAAATCTGAATGCAATATTTTCTGAAATTATTCCTAGCCTTTGATCCAAAACTGAATTCTATCTTTTTTTCCTCTTTTAGCTGACACCAAAAGATGGAACCTCCTGAGATTACCATAATTGAAGGTGTGGGAGATGAAGTGACTGTGGTGGCTGGTATAATGGTACTTATTATGGCCTTGGTCCTGGCCTGGCTCTCTACGTATGTTGCAGATGGTAGCAACCATCTTCTAGGAACTGTCGTGGCCACTGGAGATTCATCAGTGATCCATCTGAACCCCATTGAAAATTATGTGGGAAATTCTGTTTCTGAACAAACTGAGCCACAGAATGCTACGGAAAATACTGAAGAAAAGGCAGATGAAGGCTCTGCTTCTGGCACCAGTCCTACGGTAGAGCAAGTTGAAAATGGCAGTGGTTCTGATGCTGCTTTAGACTGTCTATTGGACATTCAGGGTCTGCCACAAAGGACCTTTTCAATAGATGGTGTTTCTCAGGAAAGCCAGGGAGTTCCACAAACAGTAGCCAATATGGAGGAGAGTGAGCCAAACCCAGGCTTCATCAAAGTGCGTCTCAAATTCCTCAATGATACAGAAGAAGTAGCTATTGTAAAGCCAGAAGACACCATAGGCATACTGAAGAGGTACTGTTGAATATTAACATATATTTGTTTGGTGTGCTGTCCTTTTTTGTTTGAAAAAAATTATATAGGTTTAAAAAAAAAATCCCAGAATAGATTAGAACAATGTGGTATAATTTATACAGACTTATACAGTAAATCATCTCTTTCAAAAAGATTTGATTTTGGAACCCTTGGTATAGTTTAAGACTTTTCTCACTTTATCCTACATATTTGAAAGAACCTTAAAAAGTATTCCAAGTGTTGCAATGTGGGAGGGAATCAAACCCAGCTGGTAAACAGATAAAGATCAGTTCAGCAATCACCATATACTTTTTCTTTCATTTTGGAATCATAGGGGATGTCTAAACTCCCTGAACCTGTTGAGAATAACTGATTATTCTGACATACAGTACTGATAGTTCTTGACCACAATTGAGCCCAAAATTTATGTTGCTAAGTGAGAAATTTGCTAGTAATTTTTGTCCCATTTTACAATGCCGCACATGTTAAGTGAATCATTGCAATGGTTAAGTTAGTAACCTGGTTGTTAAGTGAATCTGGCTTCCCTACTGATTGTGCTTGTCAGAAGGTCACAAAAGGGAATCAATGATCTGGGACGCTGGAACTGTCATAAGTTGTCAAGCATCCGAATTTAAATCACATGACATGGGATACTGCAACAGTTGTGTGAAAAATGATTGTTAGTCACGTTTTTCAGTGCCGTTATAACTTTGAATGGTCACTAAATGAACTTATAAGTAGAAGACTACCAATATTTATACAACCATGGTCACAATAGGAAAGAAGCTTAGAAATTGCATTGTTGTTTATAGATGAGAGTTATTTGCAAAATAAATGTTGCGCATGATACAAACATTGTATGAGTGAGTTAAAATGTGTGGAAAAAAAGTATATTGGTTTAAAGTGTTATAAAAACACTTCATTAATAAATTATATCTTGGCTACATTGTCATGAAATAACACATTGATTCCCTTATAAAGGCTCATCAGTTTATTAAAATATGAGATATTACATTTTTACTGATATTTCTGTTTATCTATGTTCTTTCTAAAGCAAATATTTCCCAGGCCAGGAAAGTCAGATGAAATTTATATACCAGGGTCAGCTGCTCCAAGACCAGGCACGGACTCTGCAATCCCTCAATATACTGGACAATTGTGTAATCCACTGTCATCTCTCCCAGACCGTTTCTGCCATTCCTGACACTGTGGTAGCCCCATCGGAAGCTGGCGGTATTACTTTGAGCATGAGTGACTTGATGATGCCCATTTTTATGCTGATGCTGGCAGTGATCTGGTATTTCCGCATCAACTACCGCCAGTTATTCACAGCGCCTGCCACCATTTCCTTGGTTGGAGTGACTGTATTTTTTAGTTTTCTTGTTTTTGGGATGTATGGACGGTGAGCAGCTATGGGGCAAAAAAAATTCAGCAACCTTTTCAACCAAAATGCTTTTTATCTGATATGCCCACTTGTTAATAACTTACAGCACCAAGAAATGCTCTTACCCAGAATTCTACACAAATTGAAAAAAGGCTCTACATTTGAAAAAGAAAACAAAAACTTAATTTCTACAATTTCTGTGTTGATGTCTGGATATTTTTGAAAACATTAGTAAAAGATGAAGATATGACACATGAAGAAGAATAAGACATCATTAGTTCCTCTGCTTTCCATTACTTGGTTTTCACTTAAAACGTAATTCTCTTCCATCATCTATGTCTCTAAGAACAATTTGGCTGATCACACCAGTTTTCTTCATACATCTAATTCTACAATGGTTAGAAAGTTATTGACGATTGGCCTGAAATCCAATTCCTGTCTTATATGCCCTTGGACATCTTTCAAATCCCCCAATAGAGAAAGATTTTTAGCTTAAGTGTTTGCCTGATTAATTTGCTGCTTCTTGGACAAGCATGGAAGGAATTATCTTGATGCACATTTCTTTTATTAATTCCACTGTGTCCAATTATCTAGTGGTAAAGCAATGACCCAGTGCACTTCATGAATGCCAATGAGTGGAACAAATGGTATACGTACTGCAGTTCACATAGATTAATATCTCAAAATCAGGTATTTTTGAACTGTGTTCTGAAGATATCAGGCTGTACATTAGCTGTGGACTACACATTTGGTCAGTCCCTGACAGAAATATGCATGCATGTTGATAGGTAAAGCAGTGAGTTGAGATTGCAAGCTAGAAGCCTATTTGGTGCACTTTGCGCTTGCTTGAGAAAAGGTAACAGCTGCATTTAGAGCTTCCTATCAACTGTTTAGGCAGTTTGTTTACCTTTTGTAGGTAAGATATATGTTGACATGTGTGTGCCCAGTCAAACAGAAGAAAAGTCTGTCTGCTGTCATCAATATTTTTGAATGTTATTCATATATAGGTTAATCTAGTTATAGTTTTAAACTCCATTGATTCTATTCTCTTTGAAGCATGATTACTTCAAATAAATTTTCTTGTAGATAGGAGTTAATCAAAGTGGTTACTGCCATGGAATTCACTGCTACAATTCCGAGAGTCAGAGCTACAACAGACAATTATTACTGAGAGCTGGACTTTCCATTGGAAAGAAATGTTATTTTAAAAACAGGATTAGATATTAAATTAGCCCCAAAGTTGTAAGCAATCTTATTGGTCAAGAGGAATATTATGTTTTTAGACATCATTGTTACAGAGAAGCTCATGTTAAATTGCAGACTTAAACATCCATTTTAATTACTGGTGCCAAGCAAAAATGTCTAAATGCTGCTCAGCTACCCTGTAATGCTTTCAACTGCTGTAGCTTCTAAAATCAAGGCATTAAGAACAGATTAACAAAAATGTTTTTTGACCTGAGGCTTGCTAGATGCTTTGGAATATATAAGAATGTGTACAAAGTTGTTCTTGTTAAGTCATTTTTTCCTAACCTTTCTGGCTACTTCAGAACTGCATTTGTGGGCATGCACACAGAGTTAGCAGTGAAGTAACTATGCATGTACATGAATAGGGACACAACTGGCTGCCTCCAAAGTAGTTGTCTAAATCAAGAAAAATGACATTGCTGTTGGAAAAGAAGTACTCCATTTGTGTTCCTGTACACTAAAAAGTACTCTTGGGGAATTTGTACAGCTCTAATTTTAAGTACATCTTTGCTTGATAAGTTGTCTGAAATGTATACTTCTTGTAAAAAAAGAAAAAAATGTATAAATATTGCTGGAATTTGTCTTTTCTGTGCATTCATTCTAAATTGAAGACTAAAGGGAAAGTAAAAATAAACCTATAAATAACTAAATAATTTGAATGGTTAGATGGGGCCATTATGCTAATGCTTATTCATAGGTAACCAGGTAAAATATTTCTAAATGACTTTTTGAATATACTTGCAAGTCTGTTGTAGAAAATAAAGGTTTCCATAGCAAAGTGTACTTATTATACAAGAGAGTTTTTCTCATCAGGAAATCTTTCAAAAACAATCATGAAGATCTGCAATAATCACAGAAAAAATGGATGTTTTTGTAAGATGTCCATTTGTATAAATAAGGTACTCTGTTGAAATCCAAGTTCTATATTAGGTAAAGTCAACTGAATGATTAGTTTAGGTAAGCCAGTCTTTGTTTAGTGTTATAATTCATTTCAGAGAAACTAAAAAGTATTTACAGAATCCTAAAATCCATATTTGTACAGCACTATTCTGTTTAACCTATTTTGTCCACTTGTTAAAAGTACAAAGTGCAATCTAAACATATTGGCTGGATTCATAAGCCAAGATTAAGAAACTGCAGTTGCTGTTTTCAAATAACATATGTGATATGCAAGCAAGCAATTTAAAGGGATGAGTTGCATCACACATTAGGGCAATGAAAGAGTTCCTACAACACAGTGAACCAAAAATCATCTTCAACTCTCCTAGTGTACTCTAACATGTTGTATAAATTCAGAGACAGTCTTCAAATTATTCATACTGTTGTATTCATTTTACACTTCTGCTTTAGCATTCAATATAAAGACTAAAAAGATCTCCGATCTTTAAAAGAATATATACAGCGATCTGGAGAAGGAAAAAATGGGTATTTCTGAGTATCGTTAGGAACTGCAATTCAGAGTAGAATAATTAGGGTTTTCTTTCAAAAACAACTTGGGACTCTAGTTTATTTGAAAGATCTGATTTCACAGTGCATTTTAAGTAAACTATGTGTTCACTGTAATGTATTACAAAACATTTTTAAAATTCCCCTTCTCTCAAAACACAAGAAAGACACAAATAACTTAACCAGTACCAAGCAGAGTTACAGTTTATTTACACAAGCATTTCACAATCCATGAATGGGAAGAAAAAAATACAGATTTGACAGGTGTTTTTTTTATTAATATCTAGCTACCTGTACAGGCTGAGACTATAGAGATAAAACATTTTTTAAAAAATCAGACCACAGTACAGTACTTTCTTCAGTGATTTCTGCACATGTTCAAAAATATCACATAGGTGCAGTTTATACATCATCATCAAATTAAAAAACTCTCATTAATCCATTCATGATAGAATACAGTTTTTTTTTCTTCAAGTGAAACAGGCCTACCTTAAAAAATAATGGGTGCAGGTACAGGTGCAGAGCCATATATAAAATGACCTCTGTCCTTCCTCTTGCTAAATTAATAATGTTCAAAAGTCCCCAAAGTTTATACTTCCAAAGTTGCCTGAAACATGATCCCAAAAGCTTGAGTTGCAGTCGTGGGAAACAAACAAGGAACTACTTCCACACTGGCTATCTTTACATTGCTGCAATAGTGTAAAGTTAGCCAGCATTTTGATGATACATAATTTAAGTATGTAGCTACTTGTTATCAGGCAGTGAACAGCAGCAAACTTCCTGCTTTTCCCACCTCCCTTGGAAAGATTCAAATCACATCAAATAGCTACATTACAAGGAGGTGTGAGGCAATTGTCTGATCCATACTTACATATCTCTCATAGAATACTGAGTCATATATTTAAAAGCATTAGCTAACTATGAAATCAAGGCAAGTGGCCCCCAAACTTTTGGGCATCAAGGACCAGTTCCATGGAGAAATATTTTTCCGCGGACTAGAGGGAGTGTGGTTTTGCATGCTGCCTGCATTCCATTGATGGGATTTCGCTTCTTTGCATGGTTCAGTTGCTGGCATGCTGTGGCCAATCCATAGACTGAGGGTTGAGGACCCCTGGTCTAGGCAATAAAGGAGTAATGCTTTGTAGATTGTGATCAGATGAAGGAAAAAGATCAAGATTCCTGCAAACAGGTTTTCCTTGTTTAACACAGAGCGCTACAAAGCTAGGTTTTCTACCACTGTCCAGCAAGATCTTTCAGGAAGGCCCATCTTGGTCCCAGAATACTCCCTATGCAACATACCTTTTGCCCAGGTATATAATGGCAAACAAAGAAGTCCAACCTCAGTAATGTTGGCTTCCTATGTCTGCTATTTCCACACTTGAAGCAATTTGGGCATTCATATATCCTCCAGTCAGGAACAGAAGCAGCAACTGATCTAGCATCTATGCTTTAACACAAGCACTATGGTAAACAGAATTTGCCCCCGCATGTTAACAGCACCAGAAAAGCATGTGGAACTCTGGGAAGGAAAGAAGAACTTGGCAGTCCCTTAAGAGATTCTTCCTGTAAACAGTACTGCATGTGCTGAAAGTTTTTCACTTCAAGACAGTTGGTGGGGATTTTTTAGAGCATATTCCCTGATGTAATTGAGCTATAGATTTTAACAGTGGAAAACACGGAATTTTTCTCCATCTTTTGAGCAAGGACTTTTTTTAGTTACTAGGAACAAAGAGAGGGAAGTGAAGCAAAAAAAGTTGTCAGCCACCTCAATCCAGGCAACAGCTTCAAGCAGTTGTTATTAGAAATTTGGATGCTCTACTACTGTAGAAATTAGCTACAAACATTCTCACATTAGGAAGGAAACAGCTAAGCTTCAGTAAATTAGACTTATGGGTAGACACACTTTTAGAATAAAAGAGGGCACACATTTTGAAATGGTTACATGGCTTCTGTGTAGTTGTTGTACACATTGTAAAGATTCAGGAAGCGGAGGCAAAAAGCAGAGGCAATATTCCCTAAGAGGAGTACTACAATTTCTAGCATCTATCTATACAATCATCAGACCATCATGATTTATGGCACTAGATTTAAAACAGCAGTTGTCTGTAAAAAGACTAAACAGAGCAGGAATGAAGTAAAGGGAAAATATATTTTGGGGGATGGGAGAGAGTGAAGGGGAAAATAGTAAAACTATTAATCTAAAAAAAAAAGCATATATTCTCCCTCCCATTCCATTATCACTTTCTTGATTTTGCCCCTAATACTCCAGCACAGTTTTAGTATTTTAAACATAGTAAGTTAAAGAGAAATTAATAATAGCTAGCAGGTCAGAGCACAATCTCCCTACCTGGATTCAATGAGATGTTAAATAGAGCTGTTTCAAAATTCAGTAACTCAAATTTACAGCCAATTGTCAGGGATGTTTTAAAATGTGTATTAATTTACGTACATAAAGTAAAGCATGTCTTGGAGTATTGGTTCATCAATATTGGATAAATAGAGATTTGTATCCAAGCACAAGTAAGGAGCACGTATCACCAGCTTCCTGATATCCATATATCGGGAAGAATGCAGCCCCAGATTCTTAATCTTGTTTTGTACAAGATTTTAGGGATGCTACTGGTGAAGAAGCACATAGTGTTAGGAAAGGAAACAATAGTGACAACAGCAACATCTGTTCAACCCTCTCTACCCATCTCAGCATGTTAGGATAGCTGAACAAGGCAAAAACCTCAGAGAGGAAGAGGCTGATCTATAATCTTGTGCCACTTCTCTTGACAACAAAGAGACCACTAGAGTAGACACTTAAGACAAAAGGGTGGGCACTGATTCCTCTTGTTTCTGCCATACCCTTTAAAATCAACAAAAGAGCAGGCAGGTTTATACACATAGATGCCTCCTAGCCCTGCCAATTCAGTATCTAGCATTGCTAAGCAAATATGATGCCACCATATATATAGTCATGATTGAACAACCACTAACATCACAATAAATAGAAATTGAAACGGGAAGAAGGAGAGAGACCAATTCCTCCCTGATTGATGGAGGTGCTATCCATCTTTAAGGCCCTCCTCAAATCACCACCATCCCTTTTTCCCAGAAGTGGTGGGAGCTCACTCTCCCCAAAGCAGTCCTAGTCTTTCATTATATAGCTGGTGAGCATAGAGCTATGCCATGTGTGTAGGAGGCTTGAGAGGAGGGCAGTGGACACATGCAGCATCTATCTTCACAGTTAATTCTTGTAAAGGGTGTCCGCAAGGGACCACTTAAGAGGATACCAGCCAGATCTGTCTCCTGATCTGGGTCAGAAAGAAACTAAAACAGATTCTGGAGGCCCTCCTTGTTTTTCTCAGTCCAGCATTATTCAATTTATGTCATCATAGAGGCTGGGAGTAGGAGGGGCAAGTGGTTTAGACTTCAGTTTCTTTTTACTGGAGCTCATTCCTGGAGCACCTCCTACCAGGCTCATGTGTGGTTTCTTCTTTTTGGTTTTTCGAGATTCAGAGTTGTTTGTACCTATTGTGGGGAGAAAAAGAATGCATGTTTAAGTATTGTGCCTGCCTGTTTTCAGTCCTGTTTTTCAAATAACTTCCTTGTCCTTCAATCAGTATATACCAATTTTGCCTGGCCAGCAATTTGTAATGCTTTGAAAAACTTCTCATTGTCCATTCCCAAGCTGAAAGGCTAAATCACTTCCATTGAAAAGCACTGCCATGAAAGGATGTATTCTGCTGTCAAATCTGTGTGGCCCATTTGCACACACAAGACATCAAGTAAAGAGCATGCCCAGGAAAATCATATAGTAGTATTATAATTACAATTATCATCAATACAACGCAACATAAACTTTACAGTTCAGCAAGCCAGAAAACATACAATACCATGAGTCAGTATTTACAATACTTTTATCAAATCAAAATGTTTTTCATTAAAGTGGCATCTACAGTGATAATATCAACACTGGACTGTACTTTCTTTTGCCAATTTGATTTGCCACACTTGCACTTGCTGTAAGTGTGAGTAAAAAAGAGTAAGTTTCATACACTTTTACATCAACTTGTTTATTACTTAGAAGAATTTGCCTACTGGGCTTCTGTCAACTTCTTAACAAATAGAGCAGTGATCAAAAACTTGTGGCTTTTAGATGTTGCAGACCAAGAATGCTCATAGGATTCAGACAGCAGAGCAACTGAAGAGGATAATAGATTAACATTTTAACAAAATCTTCAATGGATCCCCCCCCCCCCTCTGTCTCTCTCTCATTTAGGGGACTACTAGTTCTCTCTGGGTTTTCCTTTCTTATTGTGCCTCTATGTAGTCTGCAATGCAGACTATGTAGTCTGAAAGAACAGGGAAGTTGCTTTCACTGAGGTAATCAGCAACGAAGTCTCTGTGTACCTGTTTTTGGTAGAGATTATGGGCAGAATCTTCTTTACAAATAATTGCCAATGCATTAACTGATCATAGCTGAAAAGAAGCTAAGAATAATTTTTTTTCAAGTAGTCTGCCCATAAGTTTTTTATGAAGGAACCATTAGATTCTTTGGCAACCTGTGGAAACCCCTCAATCATATTCCTAAAGGTTGGAGTTGTCTGCATTCAACAATCATGTTATGCCAGTATTGCAAATAGCATGGTGGAATTCAACAACTCAAACTGCACAAAATGAGCTACTGCAACACATTCTGATGTTAAGAATTAGAGGAAAGGTTGACTAACACAGTGGTCACCAACCACTGGTGGTCCGCAGAGAAATTTTCGTATTTTTGCATTTTTGCTGGTGGTGCAATACAGAAAAAGGAGTGCAGCCCTCACTATCCGGAATGAATGGTGCTGTTGTGGCGTTGGAGGAGGGGGCAGCACAAGTGGGAAGAAATGGTGTTTGTGATGGCTGGAAGCTGCGGGAGCAAAGCACTACTTTCATTTGCACGGCAACAGCATTCCGCCTCGGTATATTTGCGCCAACCAGTGGCGCAAGGCAGCCCTTGTCTCCTGCCGCTTGGGACTCGGAATGGTAAATGGTGACTGGTCTGGGGAGCAGCCGGATTTTGCTCCATTGCGGATGCCAGATCGGCCCCCTGCAAGCTCTTGTCTCTCGAGGAGCCCGACCAAAGTTTCCCGCACCACTTCAGGGAGCACTCGAGAGATGAGAGCTTGCAGGGGGCCGATCTGGCATCCACAATGGAGAGCAAAATATGGCTGCTCCCCGAATCAGACGCTGTTTACCACTCCGAGTCCCAAGCAGCAGGAAACGAGGGCTGCCTTGCTCCGCAAATATACCAAGGTGGAATCCTGATGCCACACTTACAGCAGAGAGAAGAAGCTGGATTTTGCTCTCCATTGCAGACACCAGATCGTCCCCCTGCAAGCTCTCGTCTCTCGAGGAGCCTGACCAAAGTTTCCAGCACCGCTTCAGGGAGCGCTCCTCAAGAAACGAGAGCTTGCAGGGGGGCGATCTGGCACCTGCAATGGAGAGCAAAATCCAGCTTCTCCCCGGACCAGACACCATTTACCGCTCCGAGTCCCAAACGGCAGGAAATGAGGGCCGCCTTGCGCCATCGGCTGGTGCAAATATACCAAGGCGAATGCTCATGCCGCGCAATTTCAAGTAGTGCTTCGCTCCCACACTTCTTCCGGCCCTTGAATGAGAATGAGAGAGAGAGATTGTGGGGGATAGAGTGAGAGAAAGGGGGGGGAGAGAAAGAGAGAATGAGAGAGAAAGTGGGAGAGAGAGAGAGAGAAAGAGAGAGAGAGTGGGGGAGAGAGAGAGTGGGGGAGAGAGAGAGAGAAAGAGGGGGAGAGAGAGAGAAAGAATGAGAGAGAAAGAGTGGGGAGAGAAAGGGGGGAATGAGAGAGAAAGAATGAGAGAGAAAGAGTGGGAGAGAAAGAGAGTGGGAGAGAGAGAATGAGAGAGAGAGAATGAGAGAATGAGAGAGAAAGAGTGGGAGAGAAAGAGAGAGGGGGAGAGAGAGAATGAGAGAGAGAGAAAGAGAGAATGAGAAAGAGTGGGAGGGAGAGAAAGAGAGAGGGAATGAGAGAGAAAGAGAGAATGAGAGAGGAAGAAAGAGGAAGAGAGAGAGGGAATGAGAGAGAGAGAGAGAGAATGAGAAAGAGTGGGAGGGAGGGAGAGAGAGAGAGGAGGGAGAGTGCCTGAAGGACCCCATCCCGTCACTGAGAGTCCAGGTGCTTCAGCAAGCGGCGCGCTGGATTCATATTAGTGATCCACGAAATTTAAAATTATGAAGTTGGTGGTCCCTGAGGCCCAAAAGGTTGGGGACCCCTGGACTAACATCTAGTGCTGACAATAGTTAGCATCCCATGTGCATAGATATGAATAAGATAAATCAGATGTCCTAAGTGATAATGCTTTGATGTCCTTGCTCCTTCTACGTTCATCAGTACAATGTGCTATGATGAAACAAGGTAAAGAAGCAAATACTCCTACAGTTTCACAATTGAAAGTTGAGACCCAGAATTTAAGATGCAAGCCATTATTACCTCAGCCTGCTCTCTCAGGCAGCTATAAACATTCTTACTTGCTTTTGACGAAGCTGAATCAGAAGGAGAGATATCTGAAGAACCATCCCACTGAAGCCGACTCATGAGAGCTTGACTCTCTGCCACATCAAAGCTATCATTTTCCACGCTGCTTTCTGTTTCAGGAAGTGAGCTAAGTAAAGGGAAAAATATATGAAAAGGGGAAAAGATTAAGGTCAATTATCTTAACTGCAGCAATAGCTAACCTGTAGAAATCCAACCTGTACTGGTAGAGATAGAGGCAGTCTCAACAAAACTTTGGAAGCAGGTTCTACAGCACCTCCAAATGTTACAGTGTCATGTGAAAGATAGAAGACAACGATTAATTGTCAATGTTAATCAACTATGTTAATATTCTAATTTTATTTACACTTAAATACACTTCATTATTTTGCCCTAGACCCACCTGCATTTTCTGGCAATCCCACTATTACAAAGACAACGTGCATTTCTAGGACAGAAAGAGGCTGTGCTTGCCTGTCATATACTGTCAGAAAGAAAAAACAGAAAAGACGCTGCCCTCAACTGTCCATCCACATTCAATGTTGTTGTCTCTCAAAGAAAGCACTTAATTATACTTTACTAAATGCTCAGCATTTCAGCCCACACACTTAGGTCATTTTTTCAACTCAGATTCTTCTCCTCTGGTAATTTACTTCAACTATATACTCTAAGGCCAGCAATCAATCTCATGTGATGGCCTGGATACTCCAAAATAAAAAAAAATTAAATGGTTCAAGTCACATGAGATTTCAACAATCTCCAAGATTTTCATGAAAAATGGCTGATCTTGCAAGATTTTGACACATTTAATTATGAGCAAATATATACTTGGCTTCACCGTGCTATCTTGGAGCTTTGTAGAAGATATACTGCAGGTTGCAATTCCTTGAAAGTTCACTTACAACCTAAAGAAGTAAAATCCTACAAAGATAGATTCTGTCAATGCAGAGTTTGTGTTAAGTCAATGAACAAGGAAACAAAATGTTTTGAAATGTGCTATTAGATCAGGAAAGTCTCTTCTTAAAACAACAGCCAGGCATTCTTGAAGTTCCAAAAGGGTGTGCTATTTTCTCCTTCCTTCCATTTTCCACTACTTTTATATGTTTTATTTTTTTTAGAGTGGATTTCTAACCCAGAAAGATATGCTTGAAAACTTCTGGATGCGATATGCCTAACTCTGAAAAACTAAGAGTATCAATGTAAAGTTTTCTGGGGCTCAGAAAGAAACCAAGAAAATAGTAAGTTAGCAAAGCAGTAAATTAGTGAAAGTTATTCCACTTCATTTACGCAGTTAGCAAAATTCAGCAACATTCATACAGTTAAACAGTATGAAATATATTTTGGAGTAAAAGAGTTTCTCTTCTGCATTCCTTTCATCCTAATTATACTTACGCAGAGGATCCTAGGAGGTAGATCCTGACTGACCTCCGCTGTTCATCAGTATGCTGGGGGCAGCGAAGAGACCTTCAGGCAAAGAACGAGATTACAGAACCCTCACAGGTTGTGAAATACATGCTTCCTGCTGTTTCATCGCCCATAATGCTAACCCATCAATATTCCAGAAGAGGGGATTAACACTGTCAGAAAATCTAATCCAGGTCTAACCAAATGCTTAGACCTGGAAAATATATTGTGAGCATCCTGGTCTGTTTTTGAAACAATGATTTATTGCTTTCATACAGCTATCAACTAGCAAGACAAAATCTAATAAGATTCTCAGATTCTTAAGAATTGTAGCTATTTTTTTAATTCTTTATTTGAAAACAAGTCATTCTTTTTTGTAACTGGGATCTGAAGACTTTAAAACCAGGAAGCAAAAACAAGCCAAGTCTTAGACAACTGGATGCTGAACAGTTTTAACCTCCCAGGGTAGAGTCTCAGCAGCATCTTGTGAGAAAATTAAATACACTAAGTTATATGAAATACAGATTGCTAAACTTATGTTATATATGTATGCAATCTATTTTTAAAAAAACTTTTTCTGGAAGCAGAATTTGAATTTGTTTTTAAGTACTGGGGGATTCGAGTTACAGTACCTCAACAGATGGCAGCCTTTGGCTAACCTTTTTTGGGCTGGCGTACAGGGAACATTAAAGCCCACAACCACTCTGTCTTGCAGGGTTGAAATGGAGCTGGTTCTTCCCCTTTCAGACCCTCATAACCTCCAGGTGTTGGATTAGCACCAAAATGGCATCACCTACTCTGCCAGGGATTGAGGTGTGCACTCTGTGCCATGAAATTACCTCATCCAACGTATTCACATAGATGACTGATTTTCAAACTTAGCAACTTTAAGATATGTGGATTTTAACTCCCAAAATTCTCCAGCCAACATGCAACTCTACTTGCATCTGAAGAAATTCTCCCAATGAAACAGAAGAAAGATAACATGAGAAACAGATGGTGCAACAGGCGAAGTATCAATTTCATAGGTATCTTCATATGCTGTTCCTCTAACGCCATGCATGCCATCAACTGCCAAAAGTCCCCTTTTGACTTTTAGACAGGACTAATAGACTGGACTTTGTACATAAGAACTAACTGAGCCAAGTCTGACATCAGGACTTGAATCAAGAACAAAGCATTGCAGCATTTTGATCTCCCGGATAATCCATTATAAATCTTAATGTAGTTGTTTTGGAACAAAAATACTTTCCTAGAGCAACTGGGTGGGAGGCAGCTGAACACTGAACATCAATGATTTGCAACTTAACTCAGAAAGTCTCGACAAACACTGTTTTTAACACAGAACAATGGTTAATTGATAGGAATTTATAATCTGTACCCCATGAAACCTTCATCCGTGTAATCGTCTTGTTTTCTAATAGCTTCTCCCATCTCATGCCTATATTTTTAAATCCTATGTTAAGCCATTCCCTGCATCTGATAAAGTAGTTTGAAGCTCATGAAAGCTGGTGCTTTATAATAAAATGTATTTGTGTGAAAAGGTACCGTAATTCAAAACTTTCCTAGTGAGTAAAGTACTTTAGCTTTTGATCAGGCATGGAAGCCTAATTCATGGTTAAAAAATTACAGTATGTGGAAAGCTTTTATACAGCTGTTGTGTAGTTCCCAAATGTCTGAATTTCTCCTAAGAAGCTAGTTAAAGCCAATTTCTTATTCATCTGTACACCATTAAGAATCTTTTCCAAAAGAATCTTTGAAAATGCATTTAAAAGCTAATTTTATTTTAATATTTGAAATATCAGAATTATCAAGAGATACTTTATTGTAGGCAAAGTATCCCTCCTCAAGTTACAAGGTTAAATTAAAACTGAAAGAATTCCCTTCCCACCCCCTTCTTTAACATTTTTCTGCAATATAATTTCCAATAATACAGCTTCAGTCAGGTGACAAGTTTTGCCAAAGGGGGAAAAAATTATTCCCCTCAATGCATATTTTCTCTCCAAGTGTGAATTCTGTTTTGAGTGAAACTAGTGAAAAGATTAGTTCCTATAATCACAAGCAAATAGATTCCAAACTTGTCACTGCAAATGGGGCAAATTTGTGACCTATAGACATTTGCACTAGCATCCAAAACAACTCAAAAGGGCACCCAAAAATTAAGAGAAGGTAGTTCTCACCGTGTACACATCTTCTTGGTATGTTCAGAGATCACCCCGCATTGCTACAGAAAAAGACATACATAAGGTTGGTTCGTAGGGTGGTGAGTGCATCAGAAGATGGATAGTTCTCATTCTTTAACATTCAAAAAGCAACTATTTCAGAATGTAAATATTTTGATTCTCAGACAGGGCTGCAAATGCAGTCATGAATTTTCAGCAACAGGCTGGCTAAGAAGAGAAACAATCTAATAGCAATAGTAAACACAGTCAGGTAAAAACATGGAAAATGGGGAGTAAAAAAAAGAGACGCTAGGGAAGAAAGTGAGGCAGAATACTGTAAGCCTCGTGGGGGGCATCTTGGAAGATCTAAAAGGAGCAATGCCTAGTCTCAAAAAGTTGTATAGGACTCTACTTGGGAAGGGCAAGAATGCAATGCAGAGGAAAATCTCCTTTTAAAGCAGCTCAACTGAGATGGGAATTAAAAAAAGAACTATACTTGTTTTCTCCTTCCAAATGTATTGGGACTCCAGCCCCCAGATCCACAGACAAGGAGCATATTCCAGCTGGGGAAGAGCAACCACCTTCTGCAAGTTTGTTGCTTTTCCAGGATAAAATATAATAAAAATCAGCCAAAGTAGCTATGTACTTTAATTAGGCCAGCAGATCATATCTCCACAATAATAGGCATCAGTATTTGCACACCACCCTTTATTTCTGTCTTAGTCCTGATTAGGTACATTAATCCTTATACTACCTACCTACTCCTTAGTATCATTTGACCTTCATTTCAACAAAATCTTGCTTGGGTTCCTTCCCTTTTTCATATTCAATAAAGCAGCAACTGTAAATTGCTGTAGTTAAATGAATATCAAGTCCATAATAAAGAATACCTATCCCCTTTAAATATTATTTAGCAGCTTCAAGGGATTGAAGAGACCTCAAATCACTTCAAAGGGCCATAAGGGGATGTATCTTCCTTTTGCAATGTCTCTTCCAAATAAATTTTTAAGCGCTGCATAGGCTCGAATGATCAGAGCAGCATTCCTAAGGGCAAGCATTTACTTTCAAACAAATAAGCATCAGTTTCTTTTTATTAACTGAAAATAAGCAACAGCATACAGAATCACTAAACAGAAGGCAACAGAGCTAGGTACTCACTGTAGTTAGCAAACTACGGAGCTCCTCAGGGCCCAGAGTTTCATAGTTGATTCCAGCAGAATTGTTATACTGAGGAGGAGAATACACCACACCCAGATATTTTAGGTGTTACATAAATCATGGCAATCTTTCCTTCACATTTTCACCATGAAATGAAATGGTATGAAAATGAAATTATGCAACACAAAAGTAAAACAAGCCAGTTTGAGTGAGAGTCAGTTTGGTCTAAGTGTTAAAACACCAGTCTAGAAAACAAGTGAATATGAGTTAAAAGTCCCGCCTTAGCTACAAAAGCCAGGTGACCAGTCACTCTCTCTCAGCCCAACCCATCTTACAGGGTTGTTCTAGTGAGGAATATAGGAGGAGGAAGGTATGCTGATATGTTCACCATGTTATTTGTAAAAGTAATAAAGGTAGGCTACAAATAAACAAACAAACAAATAAATAAATTAGCTGAGATGAGATAAAATACTAGCATAACAAAGATAAAATAGCAAATAGAAATATAATACATGCCCCTCTGTACTGCTATTCAATTCTGGAGTTGTTAACCTTGGGAGCCCCTTTAACTTTAAGACATGTTGACAGCCACAAGGGATAGGGCAATGATGCAGAATGGATGGGCCTTTGTCATGTAGCAATGGAATACTTTTAGGGTCCATTCACTGTTTTTTGTTAGAAATGGCGAAAAGTCATTTGAGGCTGACATTAACATTTTCTCACATTCCTTTTTTAAGTGTAGGCATTTATGCCATCAAATTCAGGCATATTGTGGGAGTGGGCTCCAGAACCATGCTGTATTTAGACAAACTGACTCAGGCATCAATAGAACCTCAAAACAGGTTTTGTAGAAGATCTAGTACTTCCTAAAATCCTGAGGAGCAACACAGTATGCTAGGACACAGCATTGCTGTGCTGAGCTAAACTCACCTTAAATGGGTCTGAACTACCACTCAACTCCCCTATAGGAAGAGAAAAAAAGAATACACATAAGTAGCAATACATGTGATCTCACTGTCTCCTATGATGCTCATCAATGCACATGCCAGAGAACTAGTATTTATTTTTAAATGCCAATTCATAGATTCCATATGGCCATTTGCATATCAAGTTGCAAATGGAGACATTTCCATGTTATGCCCTAGGAAACACAAATGTTCAATTTGGCATAAGAAAACGTACTAGCACTCTGAAATAGTCTAAACATTCTGAAACATTCTAAAACATGCTTAACTCAAATTATAGCAGGAAGGTTTAATTAGTGGAGAAAGCAAGCTCAAACAGTGAAGCAAGAGACAGGCTGACTCCCATCCCTTCCAGTCATTTTCATGGACACCTGTGAATCTGAAGGCTTTTTTAAAATATAATCTTGTTGCCATTTATGAAAGGCTCTTTTAAGCAAGCCCATCATCTAACTGCCATTACTACCTGCCCATCTACCACAGTCCACCAAGCCTTCAGTAGGTTTCTCCAAATGCTCAGTATTTCCTCTCTTTACTTGACAGACCAGAATAGCAGTTTGTCTATGGTAGGACTACCACTAATGTGCATTTTGGCAACCTAAGTAGGGTAACTCTAGTCCATCCTATGCACTTCCTACAAATGCCCAATCCAATTGAAAGCCATGACCACCTTTGTTTTCTGAGCATAGTGCATACTGCCATGCTTTTCCACTAAAAGCTTTAAACCAAGCACGCTTAACCTACTTAAGAATTACTGAGATATTCAGCAGATTGGCAAAAAACATTCTGATTGTACAACACATCAGTTCTCCCTGATTTTCTCTTTTTACATTTTCCCACAGCATGTTTACAGCAGTAATTGACAAACAATCCTGACACATGTTATAGTATAGTTCAATGAGAAACCTGCTACTAGAGGGATAAAAGCATCTGGAAGTTTGGCTACATAAGAAGTGCTCTGATGGATCTCAACCAGCAAATCCATCTATGTGTGGAGAACTCCTGCTATTTAGCTTCTGCTTTAGTAGTGCTTGTTTCTCTCCAATTAATCTGGCATGCCCATATTCATCACTCATGCAGAAACGCAAGAAAATTGGGCTTTCCAAAGGCAGGCACTTCTTGCAATGCAAAAAGTATGTGCCCTCTCCACTCCAAATTTTAATTTTAATTAAGATGCACAAAAGCTCTACAGGGCAATTGGGAAATTCTTTGCAAATGCATTATGCTATTTCATATAGAGATCAGATATGAGAACAATAAAGGATGACTTTCCACAATACACTCACCATTTTTATGTTTCAGGGACTTGGATCTTCGAGGAGAATTGGGATTCTGAAAGAAGTCAGGAAAAATAAAAGGTATAGTTTGGTATGGAGGTATGCAGAAATTCTGAATTTAATAGATTCTGCAACTAAATTCCTTCCCCAACTTGAAGGCCAGACTTTTCAACATTGTTTCATTTCAGTGACAAAGATCAGGCTACTCCAAGGTTTTGAACATCAGTAACAGCAATGCAGATGGTTAGGTTTTTAAAAATGTTTGGTTACCTGGTACCCAAATAATATTTGAAACAGAGAAAGAACAGAAATTATTGTGAAATGAATAGTTTTAAAGAATGTTGTTGATATACAGATACAGAACATTCATTACTAGAGTATCTGGGAAAGAAAATTTACATTCCCAATATATTTTGAGTTCTACCTTAAATTAATGGATTAGAGAGTCGTAAAAAGGGAAAAATTTTATTTAAAATGTTATAAATTTTTTTATGCCTGTTAGAGGCCCTTTCTCTTGTTTCTGTATTTGGTGCCTTCCCTTTTTTTTCCTCTTTGTTTAGCACTATCTGAGGATATAACCTCCTACAACTCAAAGGAGCCATGTGACCAAAAGATAAAATATGTAGACTCATAGAATAAACTCAGAAAAACCTTCCTAGAGGATCCAAATTGAGGCATAATCTTGCTTCTCAAGACCCTTACTGTAGCACAATTTCTCAGTTCTCAATCCAAATGCACAAGAGATTTTGAAACCCAGGTTTCGCAAATAGTATAAGATCATGAAAACTGAGAACAATTAGTGGGTCTGTTCACATACAGAAGAAACACACCTTCAATTTTTTCTAATACTAGAACTTTGCAAAAAATTTAGAAATGCTTATTTTAATAACAAAATCAATATTAAAGGAAGGCATGAGCTTACCTTATCCGATTTCCTCTTCTTTGCTAATTAGGAAACAAAAAGGAGATATTTTATTATACCATCCCCTTAAAACATTTTCAAGCTTAATTTTTGATCCAAGAATTATATGGGCCCATGTGGTCTGTATGTTAGAAACAATGTCTTGAAGTACCGTGTTTCCCCCAAAAAATGACCCACCCCGGAAATAAGCCCAAGCCTACTTGGGAGGCTAATATACACTCTACCCCAAAAATAAGCCCTAATGAAGGAGTGGGTGTGGCCAGCACAGGAGGCAGCACTTCCCTTCCCCGGTCACCTCATGGTTGCTCGGCTCCTTAATCGGGGCCCATGGATCAGCTGAGCCACCGAGGGCCGGGAGCTGCCTCTCGTTCCTTCCCTCCAGGCGCAGCCTGTCCCTTTCAAGCGATCAAATGTCGCTTGAGAAAAGGCTGCACATCCCAGGATTGCAACGCTGAAGGCTCGGAATGCAGCCTTTTTGACGAATGGCAAGAAACCCCCCTCCCCATTTTCCTGCCATTTGCAAAAAAAGGCTCCATTCCAAGCCTTCAGCATTGCAATCCTGGGATACGCTGAAGGCTCGGAATGGAGTCTTTTTTGTGAATGGCAGGAAAATGGGGAGGGGGATTTTCCTGCCTGTCATCCTTTCCTCAAGCTCAGCACAGACATACCAGCGTAGACGCAAGCAGCAGGACGCCAGCTGTGTCGGTGTGATGAAGCTTGCGGCGGTGCTGTTGTTCATGCGTGCAATGCCACAACAAGCCTTGCAGAGTCCTGCTCCAAGAGGCTGTGGCAGCGTGATGAGTCTCACAAAGAGTAATTTCTGGTGGAGTTTGGGGGAGAGAAAGAAAGACTTCTCCTGCTTTCCTTGCATGCAGCCAAAAGTTCGCAAAAGGCAGGAAGGTGAAATACCAAGGAAGAGGCATTGCGAGGGAGCCCATTTCTCACATTGGCCATGCAGGGGTCACCCACGCAGAGGCCGGGCCTCGGAATGGCACTCTGAGCAGGCGCCAAGCTGGAGGTGGGAGAGGGTCAGTCCCCTTACCCAGTTGCCCTCCACCGTTTCTCAACAAATCTGTGTGTGTGTGTGTGAGAGAGAGAGAGGGGGGGGGAGGGAGGGAGAGAGAGAGAGAGAGAGAGAGAGAGGGAGAGAAATGGTGGAGAGGAAACCCTTTCAAATAGCATTGCCTGCAATTCTTGTTTCTCCACTCCATTGTTTCTCTTTCTTTCTCTCCCCCCACCCTCTCATTCTCTCTCTCACACACAGACATTTGATCGCTTGAAAGGGACAGGCTGGGCTTTGCTTCTATCGTAAGCACACACTTCCCACAATCGCCTGTCCTTTTCTCAAGCAGCAGCAGCCGAGTAGAGACAGGGGGAGCTGATTCTGACAGGCCGCATGGCTTTCTGCCTCATCACAGCAGCAGCCTAAGCAACACCTGAGCTCCAGGCCTGGAGGAGCGCAAACTGTGCTCACCACCTGCTCCATAGCCACAAGGTGAGCTGAGGAACAGAGGGGCCCTCGGCTGCAAGGTTGCCTGGCACAATGGGCAGGGCTGGGGCTAGCAAGAGTGCACTGGAAATATCTCCAGGCACCCAGAGCAACAGAACTTCCGGCCCTCACTGGATCAGCTGATCCGCAGGCTGTGGTTATAAGACCCAGTCTTATTTTTGGGGAAACATGGTAGGACAGAGTTCTGAGTCTATATTTGTAGTAGCCCAGAGAATTCATTCTTGTCTCAAATTAGAAACAGAGATATGTAAAATTGAAGTTAAGGCATGGAGGCTGATGTTAAAGTATGATTAGTTTATTAAGTTATTCCCCCTCAGATTTAGTTCAGCTAATAAAGACTGATAATTTTCCATCAAGTTGGCATAATGCCATAGAACAAAAACTAATGACATATGGGTTATCAATAGAGTACATGTGATGTATGGGATATAACAGTGCTGAGCATACACTTCTGCAAAGATTAAATGATACCGAGTTCCAGGTGGAACAAAGGCCCAACCAACAAGTGTGGTTTCATTGGCCAAGCATTTAAGCTTGTTTGGGAGCCTATCTGGTTTTGGAATGCAATGCTAGACCTTAATCTAGCTGGGCTGATTTTGGCTTTGCAAAGGTTTTAGCTGCTTGTCCGCTTCTTTATGGACTCACTGAGTGGTGGGCCTCCTCCACCCATGAGGTATCCATGCATGCTTAACGACCTGCGCATTTACCTAACAGTGGCATCAGGGAAAGCAGGAGTGACGGTCATTAAGCAAGGCTGTCTCACATAACAGTCACTACCTGTGACCGTAATAGGCAGTCTCCATTACAGTAGCAGGTTCAGGATTACCATAATTAATTAATAATGAATTAATAATTAATCTGTTCCTCTGCAACATATCGCCATCAGAGGAAGCTAAAGTTTTTTCATTCTCTTGAGGTCACTTCTGAAAACTATTTATTTATTTATTTTTATTTATTTGTTTCCATTTCTATACCACCCTTCTCCAATAGGACTCAGGGCGGTGAACAGCCAGAGTAAAAAACAGAACATACAAAATTTAAAAACAATTTAAAATAATTAAATATTTTGGCCATAAATTAAAACAACCCAATTTAAAATCAATTTAAAATTTAACTCAAGCCAGCCCAACTAGTTGAAATAAATAGGTTTTCAGGGCCCGACGAAAAATCCGGAGGTCTGTTATTGTACGTATCTCTGGGGGGAGGTTGTTCCAGAGGGTGGGCGCCGCCACAGAGAAGGCTCTCCCCCTGGGGGTCGCCAGCTGACATTGTCTGGCGGACGGCACCCTGAGGAGACCCACTCTGTGCGAGCGTACTGGCTGGTGGGAGGCTATTGGTGGCAGAAGGCGGTCTCGTAAATACCCCGGCCCTAAGCCATGGAGCGCTTTAAAGGTGGTCACCAACAACTATGTCTTTAGACCCACAGTAGTACAAAAGTGGCCAATAATAACTCGTTGTGGCATTGACAGTCTCTCTCTCCTGCCCTCAAAGTTGGGAACTTTATCTTAATCCAGGGTGAATAAAAATCGATCATTAAAAAAAACAGATTTTTTTTATTTAAATCAGATTTTTTTTTAATCACATTTATTTTAATAAAATGCTTTTGGAGTAAAAATCTATCTAAAGATAGTTTTCTATTTAAGATACATTAATAATTTAGTTTATTCAGCATGAAATGGAGCATAGTTATGTAGCATGAGGTTGTATATTCTGCAACATTGGGACTGTCGTTGAGTCAACAGCGGGTCAGAGGAGGAGCAGAGATGACAGTTGGCTTTTTAAAAATTATGATTTAAATTGAGTTGATTTAAATCAAGTCTTTTTACTAGTGATTTAAATGATTTAAATCGTGATTTAAATCGACTTCATTTAAATCAAATCCACCCTGTCTTAATCCAAAACTTTTGCATTAGACTCCATATCGCATCTTGCTCAAGATGCAAGATTGCCCATTTGAACTCACCAAATTACACCAGAAGAACCTTCTAGAAAATCTAACTCGTCAGAATTTCTGATTAAACTGGCAGCCAAATTCAACATCAATTCCTCATTCTAGAAAGAGACTTCTATTTTTACAAAAGACCAAACACACAAACACATCTTTGCTTCAACTTACCTTTCTTCTCAGATCCATATGACCAGTCATTATCATTTATGTCATCATTGTCCTCTTGATCACTCTCAGATTTATTCATGTTATTACTACTTGCTATCCTGCAGCAGGGAGAACAAGAAAAAGAGTTCTTTTTTCTTTCAGGATGAAAAATTGCTATTAGAACTGCCACTTTCTGTTCCAAACTCATGCAAAGGGTGATTGCCAGGAAATGTAGCATTGCTCCAAGGCATTGCCAGACAGTAAGGAAGCCCAAAGAAAATTGGCAAGTGTGTGGGTATAAATCCTAGGAAAAGGATGAGCAGAGTTCAGGTTTCCAAGATTGATGTTTGTGTCTTTTTTAAACTTAGAAACTCAGACCCGCCAACACAATATTCTCAACTGAGAAATTGGTCCCGAGTAATACCACTGAACGGAGCTTGCCATCCTTCCATATAACAATTCCAAATTACCCATTAATTGCAGTAGTATAATAGGGAGTAGGTAGAAAGTTGGAAACTTTGTTAGCATTGAATGAATTAAAGGACAAAGTCCAGCACAAAATGAGCAAGTATGTTAATTACCAACTATCACTATATTTCTTAGCATGTATAACAGACTTCCTCAGCCTGGGTGCTACCTATGTATGGATTCCAACTTCCAGAATTCAGCAGCCACTATGATACCAATATTAGGGAAAGCTGGTTTACAGACTGGATAGCATTTCTGATGAAACTTATCTGCAACCCAGTGAGGCAGGGCAATATAGACTCAAACTGCAGTGGAAACAAGAAGCTAAGAAAGCTAAATTGTTTTTTGTTCCTGGAATTGAGAGTTTGATGCAAAAGTAAAACTTGTACCAGGTGCTTTCTGACTTGCAGCACAATCCCTTAAGTGGAATACCACAGGAAATTAACTCATTTCATGGTGCTGAGTACATTCTTCCATCGTAATATATAAGCAGAGAATTTGCTTTAGGGGCCAATATTTTGCAATTACAGTCCATCCCTTGGCATATTTTAGCAGCTGTGGGAGCAGAGGTGATCTGTCCCCGTCCACACACACACACAAACACAGCCAGCCGAGGGTTAAGGAAACACTTTGGAACGCACCCAGTTTCTTTATCTCCGACTTGGCAGCGATAGATACACCGTCTGCCAAGTGCCTTTATTTTCACAGAAAAACAGACAGATAAAATACTCAGCTTCCAAATGTCCGACAACAATAATTATTTCTCTCCGCAGTTCCGAACGAGGCTTTAGTGACTATCCAAGGTTAGTTTTGTTCGTCACAAGGATCACTGACCACTACCCTCTATTATATAGTCTCTGGGGTGTGGTCCAGTGACTCAGTTCTAATCCCTAGCACGCCTCCTAAGCTGCTGCAATCATTTATCACGCCTTCGGAGGCGTGTGTCCAGGAATGATGTTTCTTCGTCACTCTGATCCGAGCCACCTGTCTCCCTGCTAATCTCCTCTCCCTTGGCTGGCACCTGAGACAATGCCAAGGGGAGGGGCCTGGAGAGGGAGGCCTGGCTGACTCCTCTTCCTCATGCTCGGAGCTTTCTTCCTCCGATGGGACAGGCTCAGAGGGCGGGGCCACAACAAGAGGCACCAAATAGAAAATAGGGAATTGATTGCCTATTTTGTTGTTTAGTTGCTAAGTCATGTCCAATTCTTTGTGACCATAGCAAACCAGGCTCCCCCATCTCCCGTATTCATGTTCATTGCATTGATGACACTTTCTAACCATCTCATCTTCTGTCATCTTTCTTCTTTTGCCTTCAATCTTTCCGAACATCAGAGTCTCTTCCAATTAGTCCTTTTTTCTCATTTGATGGCCAAAACATTTGAGATTCATTATCTGTTCTTCCAAAGACAGTGAGGGTTGATTTCTTTTAGGATTGACTGATCTGATCTCCCTGAAGTCAAAGGGACTCTCAAGAATCTTCTCTGAAACCATAATTCAAAGGCATCAATTCTTTGGTGCTCAGCCTTCCTTACTGTCCAAATTTCACAACTATACATTACTATTGGGAAAACCATGGTTTTGACTATACAAACTTTTGTCAGCAAAATGATGTCTCTGATTTTCATTATACTATCTAGGTTTACCATAGCTTTCCTCCCAAAAAGCAAAATGTTTTAATTTCATGGCTGCAGTCACTATCTGCAGTGATCTGAAGCTCAAGAAAACAAAATCTGTCACTGGTTCCATTTCTTCCACTTCTATTTGCCAGGAAGTGATGGGACCAGATGCCATGATCTTAGGTTTTTTAATGTTGATTTTCAAACCAATTTTTGCACTTTCTTCATTCACCCTTATTCACCTAATTGTTACTTCCTGACAGATTTTTTAGGAGACAGGTAAGGTGATCTGGTTCTCCACTCTATTTAAGAACTTGCCACAGTTTGTTGTGATCTGCACAATTAAAGGTTTTAGCGTAATCAACAGAAATAGATGTTTTTCTAGAACTCCCCTGCTTTCTCCATACTTTGAATGATTGCCTCTACTGCAGGTGTCGGCAACCCGCAGTTCCGGAGCCACATGTGGTTCTTTGGGCCCTCTGCTGCTGCTCTCTGTCCCATCACTGGCTGACTCCGCCCTTCGTCCTCCCCTCCCAGTCACTCCTCACCTGGCCTGAAAAGGTAAGGGTGATGGCAGGGGGTGGAGAAGCGGCCGGGGCTGATTCTCCGGTGGCTCACTCTTGCTGGAGCTTCTTCTGGTCCTTGTTGGTGCTGGGTGTGCCTCGGTCGCTTGAGGAGACCCGGAACATGTTCTCCGCTGTGAGACACTGGCCCGACCCAGCTGCAACTGATGCCAGCCTTGCTAACACGTGGGTTTATGGGTTGGGAATGGGATTTGGAAGGAGGGGACAATGGAAAGGAGAACAGGCACGCAGCACCCAGCTTTAAGACACTTAGGGCAGCGGGAAAAGGGAGCTGGCCCCACTGAACCTCATAAACCCATCCCAGGGGTCAGGAAAGCTGAGGCTGGGCCAAGCTGGCAAGCTCTCCTTGGGGCTCTTCGCTACTCCTTTTTGGAAATACGGGCTGGCTGAGGAATGAGCACAAAGCGGAGCAGAGGCATCCCTTCAGATGACACTCCTTCTCTTCTCATGACCCCCTGGCCAGCTGTGGCAGGGCCAGGAGTGTGCGAATGAGGGGGGAGACTCTCCTCAAGCAAGCAGCTGCCCGCCCCGCCAGCACCTTTGCTGTGCTTTGGCCAAGCCTGCTGGCTCGTTTAAGGGGGGTCTCACTGCTTGTGCGCACACTCCTGGCCCCACCATAGCTGGAGAGAGAGATATAGAGAGAGGGGGAGAGGGAGAGAGAGACATAGAGAGATACAGAAAGAGGGGGAGAGAGGAGGATACAGAGAGAGAGATACAGAGAGAGGGAGGATAGGGAGAAGGTGAGAGAGAGACAGAGAGGGAAGATAGAGATGGAGAGGGGGAGAGAGATATTAAGAGATAGAGAGAGAGGGAGAAAGAGAGGAAGAGGGGGAGAGACAGAGAGATACAGAAGGAAAGAGAGAGGAGAAGAGAGGGAGAGATACAGAGAGGGGGAAGATAGAGAGGGGGAGAGACAGATAGAGAGAGGGGGGGGAGAGAGAGAAAAGGGTTTTGTGGTTCCTGGTTCTCTGCCCCAATGACCAGCTGGGTAGGCGTGGCTAGGGGGTGTCATGTGACTGGGAATGAGTGACTTAGAGTTGGCCATGCCCACCCAGGTTTTGTGGTGTTTTTTTTTTCTATGGGAAACAGGTCCAAATGGCTTTTTGAGTGTTTAAGGTTGCAGAGCCCTGCTCTACTGCCTTTCATATCTCCACATTCTTTGCCATGGCGAACAAATGTAAAATAATGATGAAAAAATGCATCAGTTCAACTTTTTCAGTGGTGCATAATTCAGGCTAGCATGACAATGAATAATGCATTACTTTAAGCATAGAATAAACATAAATCACTGGAATCCCAAAATTAGATTTTCTTTTCTTCTTCTGATACTTCTGATTTTCAAGCATATCATCCTTGGTCTCAGCTCTTTTCCTACTAGAAAAAGCCTATAATGTTCAGAGGCTTCTTATGTCCTCACCTCCTATTGGCAATGCGGCTGCTGTTCCGACCCATACCAAGGCACTTCTCCAAGTGTGGGGCGAAGCGGGAAGCAGCAATGCTTCGGCTACAGTTTGGGCACACACACTCCTTAGTCTTCCACTGGTTGTATACCTGGCCAAAAATATCCAGCCCTGGTTGATCCACAATTTCTGTAACCAAAAGAGAAAGAAGGATGTCTCTCAGTTGAACATATAGCCAGGAAAAGAGCTACATACATACGCATCTCAAGAACTTCACCAAAGAATAGCAGCTTAGATTGACAGACATTTTAAAACAGTCCAGTTTGTCCTTCTTTTAAGATAAGCATTACAAGAAGAACAGTGACCTACAATGTAGTTATCACTGTTGCTACCAGAACAATTCTGTTATAGAGGGGGAAACAAGAACCTCCAGACACTAAAGTGGCTCTGACCAGCAGACACATATGCAACACTCTTTCAACTCTCACAAAGCTCCTTGGATAGTCGTAGAACTAACTCCGCTCCCCTGCCCACCCCCCACATACACACACATACACACACTTCCCTGCCTAGCTTATCATTATTGAGCAATAAAAGTTAAGATCATCTTCCATCAGAGTACAAATCAGGCATGATTCTGTTTAGCTTCTGAGCCAAAAAATGGTCAGGTGCTGTCATCAGCTCAGCTACAGCAAAGAGACAGAGCATAACACTGTGTGCACATGTGAGCCAGGTTAAGTGGCAGCAAGCACATCTGATTTTAAACAAAAAAATAGCAGCCCAATTGGCAGCTGTGTATGCTTAGTTGAGGACCCTTAGCTGGGTCTGCACAAATGTATACTAGACAAATGTCAAGATATACCGAAACAAATAAGTTTTGTAACCGTTTAATGTCTTGTATGAATCCAATGTATTAATAATCCTGAAATAATATGTCCTATTATACTATATAGTAAGGTTTTACACCTAAGCATGATACCTAGTAAGCAAATATAAGAAGGGCACTGGCTAAAGTACACACTTACCAAAGTCCTTCATACTATCAGGATCTGTATCATCCAGAAAGAAATATCCACATTTGACAGCACGGTGTACCTCAAAGCACAAGCCAAGGCAAGCATCCTCAATCAAGTCAGTATAAATATCATGAGCCAAAGCCTGCAAGACAACAAGACCAAAAATGTCTTAACTGCAAGAACAAGGGACATCGGGAAACCTGTATGTTATTACATATTATATTTCCCAATATAAAGAGAATGTATTCACTTTCAGGAAATGCTGACATTTTAAAAAATCTCCTTAATATTTATATACAAATGTCAAAGATAGATGACTCATAGCACATATATCTAAGCTAAGCTCTGACTACAGTGGGCTCTTCACTCTGTCCAAAAGATTTTTTTCTATTAATCTATTCATTTCACCATAATCTTTTTGGCTCTGCTCTATCAAAAACTTACCTCTAACTTGCTGTTATCCAGGCCTGACAAAGTCATTTCCTCCATTTTCATTTGCAACAGCTATCAGAAAAGATGCTGAAAATGCAACATAGTAGAGGCGAGGCTGAAATGGAAAGCGGTGCTCCTAAATGTAGACAGCCAAAAAGATTCAATTATCACTTCAAGAAAATCTTACTTTCATAATGGAAAATAAAGCAATGAATAAGAAGTTATTCAGAACAGAAATATATTAATAATAGTTTTAATTGATAATGCATATAAATTATCAAAAATTCTGAAAAGTGCAATTGGGGGGGGGATTGGGAGCCATTTTTGAAAAACCATTCTTGAAAGAAGTAAAAGTTTTAAAAACCTATTTTATAAATAGCCCTTGCCTCCAGCAGTTTTTGTAATATTTCTCAATTTTTAATATGGGTTCTACTACTTTATTTGGTGGAAACCATATTCATCTGCCTCCCCAGCTGACAGAACTATTGCTATGGTGTGGTAATGAATTAATGTGAAGGAATTATAACCTGCACAGGACTCAACCTCTGAGTTCATGTAACCCACCAAAGTATTGTAAATGGTAACTTAACAAGTTCCATGTTGCTGTGTACATGCTGAGGGCATCCTGACCATGACCTCTGACTACCTGACAGATTCCTGGGAAATTAATCAAAGTGCCAGATGGCCATCCTCTCTCATGTTGACAGTGTGCAATATTCATTTGTTGCTCTGGCATTGCTTTGTATAGAAAGATGAGCTATGACAGTGGTGAAATTCAAATTTTTTTACTACCGGTTCTGTGGGAGTGGCTTGGTGGGCGTGGTGTGGCTTGGTGGGTATGGCAGGGGAAAGATCCTGCAAAATCTCCATTCCCACCCCACTCCTGGGGGAAGGATATTGCAAAATCTCCATTCCCACCCCACTCTGGGGCCAGCCAGAGATCGCATTTGCTGGTTCTTGGAACTACTCAAATTTCCACTACCGGTTCTCTGAACTGCTCAAAATTTCTGCTACAGGTTCTCCAGAACCTGTCAGAACCTGCTGGATTTCACCCCTAGGCTATGAATCTTATTAGAGATTTATAATATAAATATAACAAGCTTCTTTTTCTCCTCCACTTTGTAAAATTTCATGGCATTTTCTGGAAACTGACTAACATGCCAACCTATGGCCTTAAATTCTTTTATCCAATGGTCTATTCCAATTATTAGCTTGGCTTTTGAGAGAAACAAAGTATTAGAAGTATCACGTCCATATTCCACTGTTCAATCTTCAGTCAAAACACAATGCAGGACTTAACTTGTCATTAGCTTGGATGAAGTACATGCTCCTCTCTTTCTTAGCAGTGAGTTATATTAAGTATATTCTGCCCACCCATCCACATAATACATCCAATTTTTATGGCTTTGATACTTTAATCTTCTCAGTAAGATCTCAATTTAGTGTTAAATATTTAAAGTTGTACACATATACTATCTCAATTCCAGATGTTCTATAATTACAACTATCAATTGGCTGGGAATTATGGGAATTGCAGTCCGGCATATCTGGAAGGCATGAGATTAGGGAATGTTGTTCTACATTTTAGATAGGGAAGGGTAGCCAAGACTTAGCGCTCCCATGTAACACCTCTCCTGCGTGAGCTGCACTGGCTCCCGGTGGTCTTCCAGGTGCATTTCAAGGTATTGGTTACCACCTTTAGAGCGCTCCATAACTTAGGACCTGGGTACCTACGAGACCGCCTTCTGCCACCGGTAGCCTCTCACCGGCCAGTACGCTCCCACAAAGAAGGGCTCCTCAGGGTGCCGTCAGTCAGTGTCGACTGGCCGCCCCCAGGGGAAGAGCCTTCTCTGTGGGGGCACTTGCCCTTTGGAACGAGCTCCCCCCGGAGATACAGAGGATCCCGGATTTACGCACTTTCCGCTATCCCCTCAAAACTTTTTTATTCCAACAAGCTGGGCTGGCCTCTTTTTAATTGTTCAATTTTAATTTGTTTTTTAAAAAAGGGGTGTTTTAATTAGTATGGGCCAAATTTGTTTAATATGTTTTTAATTGTTTTTAAAATTTTATATTGTATGTGTTTTATCTTTGGCTGTTCACCGCCCTGACACTTCGGGAGAAGGGCGGTATATAAATCCAAAATAAACTAAACTAAAAACTAAACTTAGGATATAAATGGTTTCCAACATGACACCAAAGCAAGGAATTATTTATATATAGATCATTCTGAACCACTACGTATATAGCTTTCACTACCCAAGGCCATTTTTCAGTTCTCCACGTCCATTATGAATCTAATAAAGTCAGTGTCCCATTCCGTTCTTTGCCAGAATACATTGATTAATCCTTCTGGAATTGACAGACACCTAGAAATTTTCCCAGGATCTGACCATAGTTTCAAATCTTTTGCTAGAGAAACCTCTAAAGATAGCAAAAAACTCTAAAAACCCATATATGTTCAAATGCTGAGAATGCAAACACCCAAACTAATCAATATTTTTAAATGACTGGAACTGGATAAGGATAGAGGTATATAAATATTCATGATTCTTAAGCAAGAGAAAGGAGCGGGGAGAATAAATTTTAGAGGCCAAAGAGTCTCTGTTTTATTTTTTGGAAAAATCGACGTAGACACATTTCACAAGTGTTATGCCTACTGAAAACTCAGACACCAGATAAATTTATGAGTAATATTCAGTGCTTCAAATAGGATTTCAGGATCTATAACAAGCAAAACCAGAATAAAATATACAAATATCAAGAAGAAATACTAAGAAAATGATGCATACGTATAACTAAATCCAATTTTCTTGGAAGCAGAATCTATTTTAAGGAGAGTACTTTTATAGCACTGGTTAATGAAAACACTGCTATCTTAATCCTGGATGATCTGCATACCAGCTCATTACAATTTAATATATTATGTACTGGTCAAATATGGGGCAGGGGGTAATAGGTTGACCTATTCCTTTGTGCAAAAATAGTTGGCCTAAATGAGAACAAAGCAGACCGACCATTTAGAATGGATAGTTTCCATAAGGTCCAATATTCCATCTCCAGCTCCAACAATTGCTATCTTAATATTGGAAAGAACGGGGAACAAAAAAAAAATGCCAAAAGGATAAAAAATATCTGCAACACCTCAAAAAGGAGAGGGCACAAATTAAACAAGCCCATCCCATACAAAAACACACCTCATATCTAGAAACATTAAAATTGCATTCACTGATAGTATGGATAGATTGCACAGGTATAAGATATACATTCCATAGCCTCAAGAGGTAACTGTCAGATTGAGGTGAGACCACTTGTCAAATGCAGGGAACACGAAGGAAGAAAAAGCAAAAAACTGAAAAAAATCTGTTTAAGGGCTTTTCCAAATCAACACCTTCATCTTAAGGTGTCTTCTGTCTTATTCCTCTCCCCAGCACACTTCCACAGAAATCAAGGCCCACCAACAAACAGCTTTCTCTCTCTCTTTTTCTTTTTAAAGACATCAGATTAAATAAAATTAGATTGTAACCTGGCTATTTCCAAGATTCAAAAGTTTCTGCTGGCTCCCCCTCTCCCCACCACCCCGAGGCAATCTACATTTCAATGGTTTTGAAAGGGAGGGATGAGGATAGACAGAGGCAGAAGCATCTGTATTAATCAGCTCTTATCTACTTTTGAAAAAAGAGAATGACCATGAAAAAACCTAGGTTGAGATTGTAAATCAACAATGGATGTGGAGCCCACAAATCAGCTAGGCATTTAAAAGAATTGGGGCAGATTTGGTGTGTGTATTTATGTATATGCATATATATGAGATAAATGGGATTTTTAAAAATCTAACATTAACATACATGATTGACAGAACCATGGCATCACTGGTACCGATCAGTGCTACTCAAAACCTCTCTTTTCTTCTAAGAACTACACGATCCAAAAATGCATCTTTAAAAAAATCTGTATTCATATTTTCAGGCAGAGGTTTTACATATGTATAACTCATGGCTTTTTAAACGTTGCAATGCCCTTAAATTTTAAAAAGGGGTGTTGGTATTTAAAAATCCCCCATTTGGGGGTGGGGGGTAGGTTGGCACTGAGAAATGAGAAAAATAATCCATATACTGGTACATATGAAAACACCATACAATCTAGATGGGGATGCAGAAATTGCCTCTTATTTAATATAAGGGAATTGTCATCTGCTGTTGATAAGACTAAAAGATGCAAATAAACCAGGTCTCTGTCACTCTCTAACACATACCTTGTATTATGTATTGTGATGGATTTGCTCAAGAGAAATCTTAATCTTTAATAGAGCTATCTCATAAAGAATGGATGGGCTTGCAAAGCTTGGTAGTAATTTCAAGTTCTCTTTGGCACCCTATTGTTGGGGAAAGTACTCCTTTAATGCAGATGCAGCCTTCATTAGCTTAACAAAGTCAAAACAAAAACTGGACATTATAGGATACCCCAGATCTAATGCTTCCCTGCAGCCATCCATCTGGAATCACCCTCCCTTCATCCTGGACACTGTATCCATGCCTAAACTCAGCTGCCAAATAGGAAGTTGTCCGTTTGGAACACTAGAAGACTACTTCTCATCACCAAGACTAAACAATGGTGGCCAGTTTTACCATCTATTTGGGCCACTTGTAAAACTTGAAAATAGGAAAGAATTAACCAAGTTATTATTTAAATTGGCTATTTATTGTACAGCATCTCTCAAAGCCTAGCTTTCATTTCCAACTGCCCCCTATCCAGGACCTTGGTATATCACTTTTTAATCTCTCTTCTCTGATTCACAGCTCTTCCTCAAAATATGCTTTATCACCATCAACTCTTTCCTTGGTTCCTGTGCCACGAAATCTTGCAATAATTAAACTATTCCCTTTAAATTTGGCATATGTTTTAAAAAAACAAAAAAACCTGTTGATTTCATTTTTTTTCAAGCCACAGAATCAATTTAGGTCAACAGAAGCTGACATGTCCACCAGGTACTTAAATACCATGTAGGATTAATTTGGTGCCCGCCATTCTCCTGCACAGATTTATCTCTTCTTCAGTGCAGAAATTGAATTGATGCTCAAATGTACAGCCTTTATACTGGTTACACAGGATGCTGCACAAGCACCCTGCCTAGAACAAAACTGAGCCTCCCCAGATGGCTTTATTCTCAATCCAAGGTGGGATACAAGCCAGGGTTACTCATCAGAGGAAAATGCATTCCTGCTCTACTCTGAGGAAATTTTATCTTTTCAACTATTACACCCCACATTCTAGAAAGAAATAACACTGGAAATAAGTATTGGAGCCAAGTCCTATTTTGAATGACAAAGAGAACGGACAAAGATGAAGTAACTATAGGAGGAACATTTTCAGTGCTCTGGTAGAAGTCTAAAAACAAAACCAGATAGTAAATGCTGAATAATGCAGAAGAGAAACTCAATAAAAGGAACTGATGATCTTAAATTTTCTGGACTGTAATTCCTTGACTATATTGGCTGCTAACAACAACAAAAGTTGGCTGCTGGAGTCAAGTTGGGAAACAATTCATTCACAGCTATTATGTGCCTTCCATGCCTTGTCTGAGCTCCAAGCAACTCCTGCCTTTATCCAATTCAGCCGTCCTCCATTATATCCATTAATTTCCAGATCTTTCTGAACATCTACTGTCAGTTCTTCCTAATTTTATTAACTCATCTTCTTCAGCTGAATCTTCTACATTCTATCATTTTTTGCTTTTCATTAAGCGAAAAAGAAGAGATAAGAAAGAATACATACACATGAATTTGAGAGTCTCTGTAAGATAAGTTAAAGTACTGGATTTGAAATGAAGGAGATTCCAGGTCCTAGTTCCTTCCTTAGGCATGGAAAACAGCTGGGTAATTTGAACTAGTCACTTTCAGCTGCAATTTAGGAAGTATAAAAAATCTTATTCCTTTTTCCCCCCTTGCCAATGACTTTCACAAAACAATCAAATACATCTGCTTATTTTGACTATCTTATTCTTTTCTTCACCAAATGGGTTAGGGTTATTAATTGAGATCTCTGTGAATTTAGATATCTTCACTATAATCACAACAATGATATTGCACCAATTACATCCATAGTGAGTAAAAAAAAATGAAGATGATATTTTAATTTTGTTGGGAGCAAAAAGGGAACAATCTACTTAGGGCTGGGATTTCATATTTGTAAATAACATTTTTGCATGTTTCAAAAAAGGATAATCATATTTGATTATGGTTGTCTGTATGAGGTCCATGATTATAAGCGAATCACAAATTAACATATTTTCCACCCCAATTACTCAAACTAATGCAGCTAAAGTACAACTGTAGTGCATCTAGAGAGTACCACTTTGAGAAAGGTGTTTTTCATCTTTGCTCTTATCATGCTCGTTTTTTTATTCCCACTAAACCTGCCTTCACACACATCCTTCGGGAAATATTTCACTTGGTAAAAGGAGTTGCCAGTCACATTCTGCCTTCATCCAGACCTAGTTGGTTACTCTTCCTCAGGAGCTTAGCAATTGCATTATCAGAGGATTGAAGGATTGCTCAAATTAGCATCTGGTTTACCCCAACAGTTGAGCATTTGCTTTGGAAACTTTCAGCTGTATATTCCCAACATTCCACAGTCTGAGGTAAGCAGTCTAATAACTTAAGTAAAGATTGGTATGTTTGCTACATTTATGTCCTTCTGCTCTTTCAGAAAAACCAGGGCAGGACACATGTTCTTTCTTCTCTCATTTTATCTTGACCACATCCTAGAGAAGTAGACTAAACTATGTGTGTGAGCCAGGCCCAAGGTTATTTATGAAGCTTTATAAGTAGAGATTTCTCTCCTACACTGGTATTTAACTGGTATCTGTGCTAATTCTTGTTAAACCTATCTGCCAATAATTTACTCAATCCTATACAAAAAAGAAAGTTGCTTTATTATATCAGGTCAAAAGTCCCTTTAGCCCAGCTTTCATTGTCCAGAAATGAATAGTCCAGTGTCCCTGAAACATTGCAAGCAAGGGTAAATTCAATAGCTCTCACTATTTTTTTCCTGTATTCAGAAATGCAGTGCTCCTGATCACAGAAGCTTTATTGAACAATGCTGCTTAGTAGCTGCTCCTCCAAAAATGTAATTATCTTTTAATCAGGTCTCTGAGCAAACAATTATTTCCCCCCCCAATACCCTCGCTTCTTTAATCCCCGGCCGTGATTTTTATTTGCATCCCACATCGGTTTATCCATCCCATTTCTTACTTCACCCCACCCCTGCCTATTTGCATGCCCCTGACCGCTCCCATAGCAGCCCCTGCCCCTATTTTACCTTCCCCAAATTATTGTCCTCCCCCACCTCACTTACTTACCTCCACTCACGGGGCAGGAAAAGGAAGAGAAGTCTCACAACCGACCACCTTCCACTTGATGGCCCGTGGCTGCTCCCCAGGCGGCCTGCTGAGCCCCAGGCGAAGCAGCCATGCCCCCTCCTCACCGGGCCCCAGCTCAGCGCAAGGCCCCTGGCAGGAAGAAGAAAAGACGGACGGATGGATAGGTCAGTCCGGCCTAGCGCATCCACCTCCTTTTCTTTTACAGAGGATCCAACACTGGCGGTAGCAATAGGAAGGGAAGGGGGGGGGGACACCTTTTGCAATAGACACTCAACCGAACTTGCTGGTAATGGGGCGGGCACTGGAGGAGGGCACAAAAAAAGAAGTGGGTAGAAGGGCACCCAATGGAGTAGCTCTTAGGGGGAGGGGAAGGAAGCGACCAATCGACACGGTTTCTGTCTCTTCTTCTACTTAGTCTCGCTGTCATTCAAGGTTGTTCGCGAGGAGTCGCTGTTTGCTGGTACATTTAATGTAGAATGTCAGAATTTTCCGGGGCTGTGGGGAAGGGAAGGCTGGAGTTGGGGAAAGGGACAACTCCCCCCCCCCGCGCGCAATACACTTAAAACTCAAAAAGTGGCCTGGTATACCTAGTCGCGCTCGCGTCCTTGTGCTGATAAACTCGCTCCTAGCCCTCACTCCTGAGCCCTAGACCCTAATTTTGAAAAACAAAATGCAAAACATGCCACTGAGCCAGGGCGAAGGAGTTGCATACAGTCCACCACTCCGGCCAGTTCTTTCCCAGGTATTCAGGTCTGGAATCCATGTAGTTAAAACAGGTGGAAAATAATGTCCCTTGAGTAATTCCACCAGCCTCTTTTTGATCCGATGCTACCCAGAATTCTCAGACTTGTGGAATTTTTCCACACTTCTGGAAAGGACCGGGAAGAAAACACACCAAAATAGAATTTCCAGATTTGAACTCTCACTTCTTTTCCCACCACGAAAATTAAGCACTGTTTGTCCTCTCAAAATCTGCTTGCGGAGCTCAGCCTGCACCCCAACATCCACTGATTCAATTATAGTACAAATTCAGATTTGAAAAATGCAGGTCCTGAGTTAAACTCGGGGGAGTGGGGATGCACATGATATATGTGATTTCAATAGATCTATTTGATTTCAGGCAACTGATCTCTTCTTGAAGAATTTTCGGTTAAAAGGAAAAAAGCTTGAGAGACTAGCTTTTAATGTATTCTAAAATAGTTTAGTATATCCAACAATGTACATATATGTGATGCCAATATGTAATGTATCATTTCAAGGAGCATGCACATAAGTAATCTTTAGTTATGAGCTGATGTTTTATTTTCCTTCCTCTATTTTATTTCTAATTTCTATTTATTTAGGCCAAATGACATAAGAGTTGAAGAATTCTAAAATACTTGTCCCTTTCAAATTAGTTCTATTTCTTAAATCTTTCATGTTTAAAAATGTCTTCCTGTTCCTGTATAGAGATTAAAGGTTTATCTTAAATGAATATTATATTTACTGTATTTATTCCTTTCTGTCAATTCGTCATCTCTGTCATGTGAAAAAAGGAGTCTCTAGCTTTCTAGTAGATCATGTTCAAAACTGCCTACAAATAATTTGTTTAAGCATTAATCTGCCCTAGCAACATCATAAATCCCATTATTAAAGATTTAGTTGCAAGTAACAGTTGAATGTTATGAAACACAAAAATACCAACATTATGGTATTATGATAGAAGTGATAAATAAAGGATACAGAATCTATGGCATTTCAAAACTCCAATCTACATTCACATGAATATGTGCAACACGTGTTTATTCACATACATACATATTTAACGAAATATGTATGTATATCTGCAAAATATCTTTGAGCTTACTTGCTAACATGCAATCAGGAAGAGTACAAAAAGAAAGGGAGTCTGAAATGAGTGGGACCAAGTACTATATGTAGAATTCTACTTCAATCCTCGTAACCTGCCTTAATGATTAGATGGTATATAGGGACTTCCTTTGCAATAAAATATTTACTTGAGTTTATGTTATATTTCAGTTATAAATGGAAAATCAGTGCATAATGTGAAAGATGATAATTACCTTGGTGCAGCTAACTTACTGCCAGTTTTGCCAATTTATCTAATGATATTTGCAGAAGATAACAAAGGATTGGTCCAGATATATTGGAAGGACACTTAATTTAAGGATTTAGAGATGTTAAACCATCCAAAATCACGATCTGTATCCTCAAAACAAACTTACATCTTCATTAATAATAGAACCTAAGATCTGACCTTATAAAATCCTTTCCCAACCTGGGTACCCTCCAGATTTTTTCTTCTGTTCAATTGTGTCTTATTCTTGGAGACTGCACGGACAAGTCCCTGCAGTTTTCTTGGCAAGGTTTTTCAGTATTGATTTGCTATTGCTTCCCTCCCAGGCTTATAGAAAGTGTTTGGGCCAGGGCAACTCAGCTGGACATGCAAATGTTGTTTCTTAGCGTTTTCAAGGTAGCTATGCTAAAGGGGGAATTTTGAGTTGAAATCAATTCATCTGATGGACTCCCAGGTTGAAAGATTAGGAAAAAGCAGCAGAAACTCCTATTAGATTTCCTAATGAAATGTAATATGTAATGTAAACTGTGTAATGCAATAAAGGCATTTGTCTTTTGCTGTTGTTAGTTACAAAGTCATGTCCGACCCATCGCGACCCCATGGACAATGTTCCTCCAGGCCTTCCTGTCCTTTACCATCCTCTGGAGTCTATTTAAGTTCATGCCTACTGCTTCAGTGACTCCATCCAGCCACCTCATTCTCTGTCGTCCCCTTTGTCTTTTGTCTTTACTGAGCTATAAAACTTTTTGTTTTTCTGTGAGATTAATGCATCTACTACTTTTGAAGGGGTAGTTTCAAGGTGGAATTTGCAATCAAAGATTACACATTACATCCAATTAAACTTTTATACATGTTGATATGGTATCTGATTTCAGTTTTACTCTTTAGGGCCTTCCTGCACTTCCAGGGTATCCATCTATACTGAGTTGGCAGACAACTAGGGCTACATAAATTGGTTTCCCCACTGTTAATACATCTCTCCTGTGTCCTGTGTTCTAACTGGCCACTGAATACTGGTGTATTTACTTAAACATGCAAGGCATGTGTCACAAAATGATTGGTTAAACCTTATGGCATTGCTCCCTTCTGTCTTTTGGAATGGCATCAGCCAACTGGAAACCAATGTATAATCAGGACAGTGATGGGGAGGTAGTGAGTTTTGACAATGGCTCCACCTTTCTCTCCTTCTTTATGTATGTGACAAAGCAGGCCAATCAACTTGCCAAGTTCACAAACAGGATTGTGGAAGCTCCTGCTTTCAGGAGAATGAGATTTTTTCAAAACCTGGCATCTTCAAAACCCTGCATTCTCCTGTTTTACTACACAATCTTAGGTTTCAAAACATCTCCAGCTTTGTTTGTGGGTAACAGAATAATGACATTAATAATAATAATGATCAGAGTTTGATACATCTTCAAACTGCTCTGGTTGCTGTTGGCTTAAGAGCAAAACATGAAGGTTGATTTGAGGTTATCTTATACGTAGAATGAGGAAGATGAACATGCAAAATAAAGTTGTTGCCAGGGATTATTTGTATAGTGGTTAGAACTGAGTGGGGAAAGGTCCTTCTGTTCTGAATTGAGAACGGCAGATAAGAGACCAAGATAAGCAACACGGTTTATTCACAGCAACAAGCACAAGGGTTAAAATGTAACCTAACATCGGTTGTGCGCAGCCGCTATTTATATTGCAGCTGGGCTCGCACGGCCAATAAAACACTTTAAAACATTCACACCTCCCGCCGGCCGAGCTATCAGCTCAGCCGATCAGGAAGCCTCCATTGCTGGGCGGCCGTTCATCAGATCATAACACTCCTCCCCCTTTAGATAGTACAATAATCATCCAGATAACCCGGGCACCTACATATACGCCCGGACCGGCGTAAATCGCCGTCCAAGCGATCAGGGGGTGACGCCGTCTCCGGTACTTCCTGAGATGTCATAGACGGAGGTAGCTGGTCTGAAGACAGTGGAATATTTGATGATTGTGCAAGAACATCTACGGGTACCTCTCGCAATGAAGGAGCTGTAATTACAACAGGTGAACGTGAAGACCCCAACGACGGAGCCTCTAGAGTACTATCGTCCACCGGATCAGCCGTCGGAAGTGCACCAAACATATCCGGCTCCTCGTTAGCCCGGGTCCGAGCCGTAATGTGACTCCTTAGCTGGTCTATATGGCACCGCCAGGTCCAGCCATCCTCAAGTTCGACCCTGTAAGAACGGGGTCCCGTGACTAAAATAATACATCCAGGAAGCCACAAAGGATCACCCCCATAATTCCTGGCATAAACGCCATCACCAACCCTGAACATCCGGAGCCGGCTAGAGGAATCCACGGGTGCCTCAGGTGTATAGTCCGGATGTAGCCTATCTAATACAGTCCTTAGTCGCCGGCCCATAAGAAGTTCGGCCGGGCTACGATTGGATACCAGGCACGGGGTCGAGTGCTGCGCCAAAAGGTACCGCTCCACCTTCTCTTGCCAATCACCAGGGCCAAAATGGGCCAAAGCATCCTTGGCTGAGCGGACGGCCCTCTCCGCCCGGCCGTTACTGGACGGATGATATGGTGCCACTAAGGCGTGACGAATACCCAACCCCATCAAAAACATCTGAAACGCTGCCGAAACAAATTGGGGTCCATTGTCCGAGACAATTACATCGGGAAGTCCATGTGTGGCAAATATATTATGGAGAGCCTTGCTCACAGCGTCCGACATGGTTGATGCCATACGAACAACCTCCACCCATTTAGAATACGCATCAACCACGATTAGAAAAGTCTGGCCCTGAACCGGCCCTGCTAGATCTATATGCAGCCTGGACCACGGATTCCTGGGTATCTCCCATTCCCTAGGTGTGGCAACCGGGGGCCCTGGCCGGGATGACTGACAAACTTGACACCTTGCTACCCAATCTATGATGGCCTGATCAAGCTTAGGCCACCAAACATAACTACGGCCTAAAGCCTTCATTCTCTCGATACCGGGATGGCTATCGTGCAGCCGTTTCAGAATAGTTGGCCGCAATACAGGGGGAACCACCACTCGGCAGCTCCACAAAAGGCACCCCCAGGAAATAGAAAGCTCGTGTTGGCGGATGGAATATGGCTTAACCTCCGTGGGTAATGGCCCACGCGGCCATCCCCTATGCACCCAATCCATGACCTGTACAAGGGTAGGGTCCTTAGTGGA